GGATGTAGGTAGGTAGAGTTGAATTTGTGAGCCCTCTAGCTGACAATCTGAACCTGTAGAAAATTGGTAGTGGATATTAAAGCCAACCACATTTACAATAGGCCTGGGATATCACTCGCCCAGGCGGTGAAAGGCAGCGACGATATACTCGAAGTTAAGCTAAGTCGTAGTTTACAATGAGTTGCTTCTAATCCATGTAGTATTGCTTACGGTGTTTGGGATAGCAAAGCATCCTCTATCAAGGATGTCGCGGTGGCAAGCCACTTTAATCCCGGGCAAGGAGTCGGCCCAACTGGTGCTTACTCAAATGGGATCAGCAGACTGGGGGAATATAACTGTCTGCGCACCCAGATAGGGGATACTGGTTGATGTGGGTGTATAGTGGTACATTAGGATAACCTGGGCAAGTATATGCCAAGGAAATGGCAGATCAGGCATCCTGTCCAATTATTTATACATGGCTACAATGCCAGTGGGATATCCAAGAATAATACTGCTGGTACCGGAGGGTATCTGCTCGGTATCCTGCAGAGCCTTTGTACCACTAACTAAGGTGCAGTAGTGGCCTCCTTTAAGGGTTGGCTGCAAACTGATGAATGCTTTTGATAGCAACAGGGGTTGCCATAGGAAGAGACTATGGTACAATAAAGCCTAATCGGAATGATGGCTATGGTAAGAGGTCTGGTCGCAAAAGCGCATATTCTCCAGTGCGAGACCATAGCCACACCATTGGAGTAAATGGTATTGCAACATCAAGTTATTATGATCTTACCATGGATATCCCAAAGTGGTGCTTGATATCATGGGGAAACATCCTAGTAAATGCTAGAATCCGGACGCCTAGGAAGGGTAAGCTTAGAGGACGCTCAAAATAAGACTGTGAAGAGTGCTCTAAGGATAAGTATACTGACGAATAAAGTATATAGGATGCGATGGCAGGTAATATGGGGTATTGGTATGGTTAGATAACTGAAATATATGGCAGAAGTTCATCCAGGCTGTATAACGAATAATCCATTTGATGAGGTAAATATTACTGGTCAAAAGTTATTCTCCCACATATTATCCCATACATATATTGTGTAAAATCTTATACGGGTGGGTTGACGTTCACCCATATCTATCGGTTTTGGCCTGGTTTTATATAGCTGAGTAGATTAAGAATAAACTTGTAGACTCAGCGCACAATATGCTGGGACAAGTTACTAGTAGGCATAATACAAAAAATATGAATATAGAAGATGTAATAAAGAATATGGTATAAAAACCATATAAAAAGGGAGACGGGAATGATCGAAGGGGGGGGGTAGTACCTTCAGCGACTGAATTCCCGCGTCCTATCTATGAAACTAGACGACCATTGCGCCTAAATACCAATGATGGGACTACTTTAATCACCTTGATTGAGCATACCAACTTAGTTAAAATAAGTCAAAGGAAAAAGGGTAAGTTGAGGCGTGAATACTTTATGCTGCCAGTACAGCATAGATTAGCGGCCAATTCCACGACCAGTATCCTAAACATCGAACACAAATGTATAACAATCGAGTTCCTCCTAAAACAGAACTTGGTAGGCTGGTCGATTGTTTACCCTTCTGCACTATGCAACAACACTCTAGTAGGATTATGGATCTATATATGGAATCGAATCATGAAATGATAATGTGGATAATAACATTTATAAATATTGAACACAGTATATACTAGACCACAAAAAAAAACGATATTCAGAGCTTTTTAACAAAAGCGGCGGTAAATTAGTACGGCCATCAAAACTAAAACACCGAGGATCCAAACATTCTACCTTTCGTTATCGTATTCCAGAAAGCCGTCCCAGTACTATCAGGGTTCGGGTGGGGTTGGGTTACAATATGCGGGTGAATGGGGCGCCCTATTTTTGATCGCTTTATAATCTCACCGGTCAATGGAGAGTGTTCCAGGAGAGTGGCCATGGATTTCGAGTTTCGGGGAGGGTTTTGATGTCCTCACTTAAACGAAGTAGTGGTCTTCACTATGGAGTCACGCTCGGTCGATTTTTGAGACGGATACTCCCGTTCAAAGGGGCCGCAAAGGTAGACGATTGATAGAGGGAAATAGTGATGGCCAACATAATAAAGTAATACACGCCGGGGGACCCCATCATAAATGATACGATATTTGCTTAATGTGGTTGATGCAAGAGGGCGAGAGTCAGCGATCGAGGCAAATGTTTGGATTAGTGATAGTAGTAGCTAAAGTGGGCAAAGAATTGAGCGAGATTCGTTGGGATATTCGAGTTTGAGAGGGAGTAAATAATAAAAGTTGGCTAACCATGGGGGTTTTATACTTTTGATATAGGCCATTGCACGTGTAGCTTTTCTGTTCTTTTCCTAGCTAACTGGTCTGGTCATGTAAGAAACTCCAACATGGTTTGGAGGTATCACTTTTACGCTATATAAGCCAATGCAATGCATGGTATAGCCCGCAACTTGTTAGGGAATAATGACAATCACCAATGGAGCTGGTAATCAACCCTGTTTCTACGAGTATAACTATATAGCTTGCATACTACTAGTGAAGCCAATCCCAGCAATCCTAACCATGGGCCTGTCTTTTCAACTCCAGATAAATATGAATCACCTCATAATAACAGTTATAAATGCCAAACCCCCTCATATTCTGTACTCTCTTATAATAATCGAGGGTGGCATAGATGGCATAATTTACATGGGGTTTACGTGTAAGTCATGTAGATTCGTGGCATACATCACCACCCACTTAGATTAGGCAAGATCGTCAATTCGCAGTGATCAGTTTAAAAGCTTCGTTATTATTTGGCACAATTATCTTGTTTCCAAGCTAACAAACCAATTAACATTTATAAGGGACGGTACCAAGTATTTTGGTGGCGATGTAGCTGCATCCGCGCAGCATTTTTACATGCTCATGGATTTCTGGTTTTGCCCTAAGGATATGAACAGATATATTAACCAACCTAATGTGCTTTAAACGAATCACAATGGTGTATGATGAGCCATTGGTAGGTGCCTCTGCCGATCTCAACCTTTCATTTCTTTATCATTTGAATCATTTTACAAAACCCCACATTGAATCTATGATGCTATTTCAATAATGCATTTATTTTTATATGACCTTAATCTATTAAATGGCAATTAGTTTTGGGTTATAGCCTACTTTATTAGTGTATATGTGGGATTCCAATTGTTAAACCGGAGCAGCTCAAGCCACTTTTGGGTTTCTAGTAATATTATAAATTAAAAACATTGACCTCGCACCAAATTCATAAAAAGTGACACATTAAAGAGGAATAATATGGCCCAATGTCACTACAGTCTTCACTCGCTTTTATTGGATTTTTCAAATGGCCCTGGGGGGTTCCTTTCTTTAGTATGGCAGCCTATCTAACATGAATTCAATACATTGTATACTTGACAGGGATTCTATCACGAATACGACTAATCCCTGTACAATCAGCTAATTCCTAAGCGGTTCGCCAGAGTCTCGATATGCTTATAAATTGAACATGGCTCAAGTCCTCATGCAACCGCGCGATAAGTCCCCGTCCCGACAAACCCCGCTATCACGTGACCAAAGCCTATCCGGGCCCACACCAAGCGGAGCTCGTGCAATGACTGTCGTCGCGAAGACCACGACCGAACCGGAAGTATAAAATAATAAAAATTACCCGAAAACGGAAAAAGATCGTGCTACAATAAAATACTAATTTATAAACTTTACTAATTTGCTTCTGCTAGGAATTCTCCCAAATTCCCTCCTCCTCCCTCGAATCGAAGCACTTCTGGTAAATTCCCCGGTCCACCGCGACCCCCCCGTTACACTCACCATACTCATACAGCTCCAATCGCCAGAGGACTCTAGTCATTCGGTAATCGGACTCTTGGGATCAAATGCTTCCCTGCTTTCCAACGGACAATCCCATCTCGTTGGCATGATGCACCTATTGGCAAATCCTCAAAATGGATCTATTGAAGAGGCGCTGCGAGCCTCTGGCAGTCAGCGTGGATAATACATGGTACCCTTGCCAAGGCAATATTCAATAGGATCTCACTGGTTGATTTGTTGATCAACAGCCAATTGACATATTATTCGAAATGGTGGCCATTGAGCCCGACATGATCTGTATTAGACATCCGAACCAATCCTTCTTATTCTGGGCATAAAACCAATGCTATGAGATGTATATGCAAAAGGTTCAATCCCGCTGAATAACGAAAAATATGTTTGACAGGACAGGTATTATAGACTAAATTTAGATAGTCCGCCTATTTGCCGAAACATACATCACTTGTTATCGTATATAGCTATGTTGAACTCCACCCATATTTTGGAATAAACTTGCTTGATTGTTTTTTTTCTAATAAGTGTATTTTGTATAATGAATAAAAGATAGACTCGGCACAGTCGAATACTGGAGTAATTGTTATCCGGACTAGGCCCAATTGGTAAAAATGCAATACGTGGACTACTATCACATTTTAATTGTGTAAAACACTTCCTCCCAATTCGCTGGATAGGAACCAATGGCAGATGATAAAAATAAGGAGGTGCTATGCAAAATTCGTCTTGCAAACTCATTATGTTAATAGAGGGGAAGGAAAAAACCCCGTAAAAATAGCTTTTTCCCCGAAGTAGATAGGAAAAAAATTTAATGCAAAATTTTCTTTATCTTTCTTCCTCTTTTATTCCTTCCTAAAGGCCGACCCTATTAGTTTATTCAATTTTCACTATCAAATTTTATGTCTAACGTGTTCTTTACACATGTGCATGACGACTTTCGGTCATTATTATAGTAGACCTGTTCATTGAGCAAAACAAGTATCGCCAATAAATATCAAATCGTCGACGGCATCTACTAAGGTAAAAGACACATCCACTTAACCCACCCCCCTATAACACTTCGTTCGCTTGTTAACTATAACTAAAATGCAGCAAGCTGATAGAGTAAGATTATTCCAATAAAAAAATTGGAAAATATTTATTGGAGGACGGGGGTATCGATCCCCCTGCCTCACGCATGCGAAGCGCGCGCTCTACCATTTGAGCTAGACCCCCAATATACTATAAATTTCCTATGCGCATTTTGTTCCTAATTTTTCCTTACTGAGCTGCACTCCAACTTCCCTCCTGCATTTGCTTTGTTCCGCGGCACATGCTGTTTATCTCTGTGTCATGTATAGCACATTGGTGTCTACTTACTTAACGACTTGCTGGTTGGCCTATAATCCATTTTTTGTCCACCCAGCTAAGGTACTTTCATCAGTGCACCATGTGTGTGAATTGCCTAATCAATTAAATAATGTTCTCTATGACGGCCCTTTCACCAATTCTATTGTGCCGACCAGCTTCGATTTGCCTTGTTCTGTGAGGGCAGGGGTTGGAGACTCCATAATGGCTGGATATATATCTACGAGAGCTGAGGGTCGCATTTAGAATAGGCATTTGCTGGATAATGCGCAGTTGAGCCTACCAAATGATTTTCCTCTATTCGGGGGGATCCATGTATTGGGCGACCGTTGGAGAAAATCGCCCCAATCTGTGAATTTGTCAGCCTGAAACTTACTCAGAGACGATGCAAGGGGATGGTGGGCGACTTTATAGTATAGCCCGGTGATAATAGTATAATTAATGAGCAATGTTTAAATATACGGGTTTACGATTAAATAAGTAATGGGGGTGTCAGTTCCTCTAGGCGATGTGATCCGGAATCAGACCAAATGGGTATGCATAACCCATTTCGATAGGAATCTTACGAGAGTGGTTCTTGGATGATAGCTAGTGAAAGGCATCCAAACCCACCAAAGTAATGTGCCTTTACTATAGGACTTCAAACACGACATATGGTCCAAGTGGCAGTTATCAATAGTATGTCGTCTATAATATCAAACGGTGTCGAGTCGGCAAACTCAATGTTTAATAATCAAATACCCAACTTGCTGATGTAGCGGTACTCCAAAAACTAATTATATTTAGTGGAGTGGATGTGTTCCGGCGAATGCTACTGACCTCATACTAAACAGATACATTGTAACGGTAATGGTAATGAGATAGGAGTTTAGAAAACGTACCATCGCCAACTTGCTATATCCAGTATTTTGCATGTTCTCACTGCTTTTTATCATGCTCACACCTCCCCCCCCCATGACTAGCTCACTAAGCCCTCATGCTTCGAGACTGTTCTTAGCTGTTAACGGTTGCTGAATTACCCATCTTCATTTTCCATTCCGCTTCTACATTCGACTCCTTCGCCCCCTCTTTGGTACCCGTTGCTTTATATTGCTTTTTTGTATTTGACCACATTCCACAATGTCCGCCCGACTGCTAACTTCCGCCAAGGCCCAGATGGCCGCCGGGGAATATTACGAAGCCCACCAGAGACTCCGCACATTGGCCAATCGGTACATGAAAGCCGTTGGCCAAGAGGAAAGCACGCAAGCCGATCCGCCCGTTAAAGTAAGCCAAACGATTGACCTGCTGGTGGAAGGCGCCCGGACGTTTCTCGAGCACAACCAAACTTCGTCCGCCGCAGACCTTATCGCTTACGTGCTCGATATTTACGGTCGGTTCGCTTTACCCCCCGCTCCTGAAGCCAGCTCCGCCTCGACCCTGGCCAGCGAAACTAATGCAAATACAAGCTCGGCTTGGTGGACCCGCTATGCCGCTGATAAACAGCGCCTGACCGTACTGTTAATGCAAATGCCCGCCAGTGAACCCCAGCGCCCCCGTCTTTTGAAAGGGCTGCTGAATTGGTCGACCAAGGTCACCCAACGGCTGTGGATCCTCGAGCACGGGGCCGAAGCTACGGCGCAAACGGGGGAGGGGTCGACTTGGAAATTACCGGCCTACCTGTCCGCCGGGGACCCCGACCTGCACCACTTATTGGGTACACGGTTGGCCCAGGACCGGTTATTTGAGGCCGCCGAGGCCCATTTGCTTCTAGGGATTCATGACAGTGCCCCGCGGCTGGCCCAGCTCATGCATACCTGGGCGGCCCAGTCAACCACGGCCATGCCGGACGAGCCTATGGCGGATAGCGGTCTTTTCGCCGCCCGTGCCGTACTGCCCTACTTGGCTCTCCATAAACCCAACTCCGCCTCCTACTTCATGGAGACCTATTTAGCCGAGAACCCCCCCCACGACGCATCGGCCAGTAACGGTGGTGGTCCTGGTGGGGCCTTGGCCAATGATCCACTGGCTCAGTACCAAACGTTGGCGTCTTCGCCCATGGCCCACTTTTGCCAATTGCTCCTGTTGGCCGTAGAACGTCAGGCCAAGGAGGTCTTCCTCAAATTGCGCCGGGAATACCCAGTCCAGTGGGGCGCTTCCAGCGAAGCCGCAAACCAAGTAAGTACGATTTACTCCTCCTTCAAAAAGTCAGGATTATACGGTGTTCATGACAATACCCTAGACATTCTCCTCTTGCCCATGTATTTCTAACTAAATCTATTTCTATATTGCTATTGCGATTATCCAACCTGAACCACACCGATCTAGCTTCTGGATATTATTGGCGAGACTTACTTTAATATCTCTATCCCGAAACAGAGCAACCCTTTCCAGGATATTATGCAGGCGCTCTTCGCCCCCGGTGGATCCAATAAGCCCAGTCTGCTGCCGTCGGGTGGACCAGGGTTGGACTGATTCAGAGTTGATATCCATTTTTTTGTTTTCCTTTTAGCGACGGAGTCGACGCAACTATTCAATGGGGGTTTTGGACAGTTTCAGGGATTTCCGTGGAGCCATATTCTCGTATAATTTTGAACGATTAAAGACTTAATTGATTAATCACATGATGGTTTTATCGGACTGAGTGACGAGACAACTCTATATACGTCTTCTTTTAGAATTTATAGCATCGATTGGCATGAGATATATATTAATATTACTAGGTTTATGTTTCGAGATAGATATATATATATATATATACGAGATACTACATATTTGAAACACATAATTGAAGAATAAATTTAAAGGGATATGTGTCACTTAGTCTCGGCATGGGTCAAAAGAGGAGTGGTTGTAAATCCACCCTGACAATTTAATGCACGAAATTAAAATTTGAAAAAACCCGAAACAAACTAATGCTCATTATTCAAGACCGGAAGTAAACCAAGTGGTATACCATATTGCTATTTCGCATATTCCAGCCCAGAGCCCCCCCCCCTTCACCCAACCACCCTGGTTCCTTGGCTACATATAATAATATTTTTCTTTTAGGATACATGTTGCTGTTCCACGAATCCCATTGCATCCTCCTTGGAAATACAATTGACGTGGGATACCTTATTCACAAAGGTCACACCGTAGAACTTATCGCACTGGGCCAGCATTTCGGGACGGAACGTGGTGGTGATAAACTGGGCCCGGTCGGACAGTTCATGGATCATATGGGCCACCGCGGTTCGGTATACAGCATCGAGATTAGCGTCGATTTCGTCAAACAGGTAGAAGGGCGCTGGATCACACCGTTGGATGGCAAAAATGAGGGCCAGCGCAACGACGGACTTTTGGCCACCGGAAAGTTGAGGCATGCGGAGCCCTTCGTCGGTTTTACTGTTGAAGGACACTTTGATGGCCACACCGGTGTAGTTTTCGACACTGGTGTCGGCGGCATCGGCGTCCATGGTGGGGTTGTCTTCTTCTTGGGTGCTCTATGGGCGGGAAAAGATGAATGAGGAATAAGGAAAATGGTCAGTGAAGGGTTCCTCAACTTATTTTTGGAACTCTGGGTCAAAGGAACCGAGTTGCGTAGGAAAGGGCGGGATAATACAGGGTTTCTAGACCAACCTAGCAACGCATATCATTTGATATGGGCATATTGCTAACAGGAGAATGTTTTAAACATGGACAATCTCCCCACCAATAAACTTGGATTATATAGTTGGGACTTACCTTGTCGAAACGGCGCTGCATAATGAGCTGTCCCTTGCCGCTTGGGACAAGTTTCTCAAACACTTCGACGAAATACTTGGCGACTTGTTTAAAGGTGCGTTCGATGGCTTCATCCTTACGCTGGTCCAGAACTTGAATGAGATCCTCGATCGCCTAGCGAGGTCCGTATCGGATAATAAGAGCACAATAAAGCGAATATTAGGGTGAGGGATAAATAAGTTGATTAATAAGCAGGCACCTCTAAAACTACACAATGAGTCCCCACCTGGATCAACAAAAGCTACCAAACGACCCCTCTCATATAATACTCCAACTGACTTACCTTAAAGGATGAGTTGAGCTCGTCCTGCCGTTTCAACAGATCATCCCGCTGTTTGGTAAAGTTGTTGTACTGGTCGAACGCCTTCTTATTGACATGGCTATACTTCTTCAGTCCTTCGTTCACCTTATGCAGTTTACGAATCAACTTTTGGGTCTGCGTATCCAAGTAGCGTGTAAAAGCCTCTTCGGGTAAGACCCCCAGTTCCCGAATATTGCGGACGCACTCCTCCTTCTTCTGGAGCAGCAGACTACGCTTGGACAGGTATTTTTCGGCGTTCTGCTGCAGATTATCCAGACGGCGCGCGCGTTCCTGTTGGTCGGCCCGGGCGTTTTCCATAGTTTGCTGCAGTTCCGTGATCGTGGCCGAATGGTCCCCGAGTTGCTGGTCGGCATCCTGGATTTGTTGGGTAAGGTTAGCGAGGGTGGTCTCCAGGCTTTTAAGGTCCCGTTTGCGGTGGCGGATGGATTGGTCGGCCTGGTCCGCGCTCATACTTTCGAGACGTTTCTGGAGATCGACCAACCGGCGGTTAAGCCGGACCGTCAATTCATTCTCAAGGACATTTTTGCGACTTTCCAAGTCGACACGACGCGCCGCAATGTGGTCCAATTGTTGGCTGAGGGTTTCCAGGCGGGTACCCAGCTGATCTAAGCGGAAGTGTTCCGCGGGGGATAGGTCGGACGCGAACGCGGACCGTAGTTCCGTTTGCAGGGCCTCTACTTGGGCGGCCCACTGCTTCGTCCGGGCCCGGGCCACTTGGAGGGCCCGCGTTTTCACCGCCAGGGATTCTTCGGCGCCCCGGAGTTCCCGCTCGCGGTTTTCGAGGTCCAGTTGGGCCCACGCC